TGAATATAATAATAATTATATCATAAAATTTATGAAATTATATTATAAATTTAATAATAGTTAAGTATATTTTTAAAATGTATTTTAAAATATATATTATTTTTAAAATATATTTTATAAATATAGAGATGTAAATATATCAATTTCTGTAATCAATATATTTTTCTAATTATATTAGTTATATTATCATTGATAATTGTTTCTTAAACACAAAATAAATATATGAAGAATAAGTATAAAAATAAAGAAGAAAAATATATAAAATAATTTATATATATGAATTTTATTGATTTTTAGCTTAATTTAAAATGAATGATAGCTACAATTATATATTTTATAATATACCTACTTAGCGATATCAATGAATAATATATATATATAGCATAGTATAATACTATAGTATGTTTTTAAAGTGTCAGAGTGGTGTTGATGAGTAATGGGAGTGGTCTTTTATAATAATTAATTTTTAGATGAAAAAAATATTAAAATGCTATCCAAAAATTGTATAAATCTAGCTTTAGTATTTTTCAGTATATTTTGTCGATTTATATATGGTATAAAAATTATTTTTATTTTTAAATACTTTAATCGTGTAAACTAACCATTATTTTCTTCATTTAACCTTTTATACTCGAGAGTGTTTTAAAATTATATTCTAATAACTAATATAATTAAAGAAAATTTATTGTAATTGAGTAATAATCTAATCTAATTTAAATCTATTTATATAGGACAGAATCTTAACAATACTATTACATGGTGTACAATATCCCAAGCTGAACAAGATAAGTGCAATGCATTTTCAAAGGCAGTTGATCGTGAAAAAGTATATTTTCATTATAACTATAGAAATATTTCTGTGCAATGCAAACAAGCATCAAATAAAGAAGAATGCATGACTATGTTGGATCAAGAAAAAGCACAAATAACAACTTTAGATCCTGGTGAAACTTTTATAGCAGGACGCTATCACAGTTTAATCCCATTTATGCAAGAAATATATGAAAATGGTCTGAATTATCATTATGCAGTAGCAGTTATTAAAAAAGGATCTTTATCAGATGTTCAGAGATTACATGATTTAAGGGGTAAAAAGGCTTGTTTTGCTGGTCTTGGAATGCTTGCTGGTTGGGTTATTCCAATTTATACTGTAAATATAACTTTTTTTAAAAATTTTTTTATATAATATATATTTGATTAAATGTATTATTTTTTGTTTTGCATAGCTTATGAAACAAGGTGGATTAGAAGTTGTTGATTGTAATAATCATGTTAAATCTGCAATTAAATATTTTGGACCCAGTTGTGCTGTAAATTCATTAATAGATAAATATAATCCATTAGGTATGATAAAAAATAATATATAATTATTTAGATATAAGAAGAGATAGATTTTTGAGTTTGAATTATATTCTCAAAATTAATATTTTAAACAACTTTTTATAAATAATTGCATTTAGTCTTAGTTTCCAAGATATTCATAATATTACATTGAATTCTATATATGTTTATATATGTGCATCCAAATATGTAACTGTTTTTTATTTTATTATATTACAGAATATTTTACTGTTTAATAATAATATACAAAAATGAGGCTGAAATTTTTAATGTCTAAAAATAAAATTTGCATATAAATGCATAATATGAAATATAATAATTAATTAATTTTTAATTAAGATTATTACTAATAATATAGTATTATTAATAATATTATTTTATAAAACTTCTATATATGTTTTATTATAGTAGTTCTAAATTTTAGGTGATAATTCGGATCAATTATGTAAATTATGTATTGGAAAAATACCTGGAGGAAGATGTACAATGTTAGATCCTTATGCAGGATATGAAGGAGCATTTAGATGTTTGGTAGAAGTAGGAGAAATCGCTTTTTTACAACATACAACTGTAGATGAAATGACATCTACATCATTTGATTTTAGTATGTTTTTAATTAAAATAATTTATTCTATCAACATTAAAATAAATTAGAATATTAGAAAATAATATTAATTTTTTTAAGATTTTGTAAAGAAAGAGCAATTTGAATTGCTTTGTCGAGATGGTACCCGTAAATCAATTAATGAATATGAATATTGTAATTGGGGTATTGTTCCATCGCGTGCTATAGTTACATCATCTGCTACAAAAGTTCAAACTCGTCGATTATATCAACGGTTTTTAGAAGAAGCAGTCAAAGTATTGGGGAAAAATAATACAAATACGATTGATTTTTATAATAATCATTTCGAAAACCAATCTAATTTTAATAATAGATTTGGAGAAAAAAATTTTAATAGAAGCGAATATGTTAATGCAAATGAATATACTACAGAGAATTTTGGAAATCATAACGGATATGAAAAAAGTTACAATGAAAATAATGCATGGGATAAAACAGAACCAACGAACATACAACCAATAGAAACTTTCAATTTATTTGAATCAGCACCTACATTTGGGATGCATCACAATTTAATGTTTTCTGTAAATATAATATTTTTTAAATGTTATTATTTTTTTTAATTTTTTTAATTTTATATAAATTGTATAATTTTAGGACGTAGCACGGGATTTTGTTTCATTACCTGAAAAAGATCAAATGTATACTGGTTACTTAGGCAAATCTTTAGATCCAATATTAGAAATGCGCCGTTGTTCTGTTAATAAAATGACATTATGTATTACATCTGATCCAGAAATGGAGAAATGTATAAAAATGAAGGTAATTTAATAAATAATATTTATATATATTTAATAAATAATATATTTGTGGAATATTTTTGATTGATTCTATAGATTAAAATAAATATAGAAATTGATATATAAAAATATCAATTAAAAGTTTATTTATTAATTTATTATTATTTATTAACTTATAAACAATTTAAATTTTTGTTAGATGAAATAAAATGGAAATAAAATGAAGCACTTTATTTTATTTATTTTATTTCTGTCGTATCATCGCATTTTTTCATTGTCTCATTTTATTTAATATTAATTTTCAATTGCTAATTTAATAAATTAATAATTCTTAAAAACTTAATAAATCTTAATTAACACTTTTATATATTATCTTTTTTACTTGTTTATTTCTTATCTGTATATTATATATTATAAATTACATATATATATTATAAATTACATATATAATTATTAATATTTAATTTTTTTATTAGATAGCATTAAAAGCACAATTATTGAAGCCAGAATTAAATTGTCATAAAGGTCATAGTCAAATTCATTGTATGCAGGCTATTCAAAGTGGGTATGTATATATATATTTCGAATATTGAAAAAAATTTATCAAAAATATTCAACATTCATCGATTATTTTATAAAAAAGAAATTTATTTTATCAAAATTATTTTTCTTTTCTAGAATTGCCGATGTAGCAGTATTAGATACTAGTGACGTATACACTGCCGGTTTACGCTTTGATTTAATTCCATTTATATCTGAAGTTTACAATTTACCTACCCCAGAATATTATGTAGTTGCAGTGGCAAAAGAAGAGGACGACAATACGGATTTAACTTATCTTAAAAATAAGTATACTTGTCATACAGGAATAAATACAGCAGCAGGTTGGGTATATCCATTAGCATATCTTATTTCTAATACTTGGATCAGAGGCTATGGATGTGATTCAGTTCGTGCTGCTGCAGAATATTTTAGTAAATCTTGTGTTCCGGGTGCGCTTAGTACTGAATACAATACAGGTAATTATAATTTTTAAACTAGTTTTGATTTGTCATACAAATTCATCGAAATTATATGTTGTAGGAGTACCATACGATAACATGTGTGACTTATGCCATGGTGCAAGTTTCCGCTACTGTCGCAGAGATGCGTCTGAAGATTATTTTGGATATACCGGTGCCTTTAGATGTTTAGTTGAAGGCGGTGGAGACGTAGCGTTTGTAAAACATACGACAGTTGCGGAAAATACTGATGGAAAACGACGAGAAATGTGGGCACGTAATACTTTTACAAAAGATTTTGAACTACTTTGCCCAGATGGCACTCGTCGACCGACAACCGATTATGTACATTGCAATTTAGGGAAAGTCGCAGCGAATGCAATAGTTACTCGTGGTGGATATTATGGTTATAATGAAACACAAATAAACGCTTATATAAATTTATTTATTTATGCTCAACAATTTTATGGTAGAAAAGAACAGGACGAATTTAGTTTTAGTATGTTTTACAGTCCGCCACCTTATAGTGATTTAATTTTCCAAGATGCTACGCAGCAATTGGTGATAATACCACCAGAAAAAAGAGAATTTAGTGCGTATTTAGGTCCAGATTTTATGAGAGCTAGAAGAATCGTAGATTGTAGAGCTGGTGCATCAGCTATAAGACATTCAATATTATCTACGATAGTTATGATTATACTTACTTATATGTTTAGTAGATAAAAGATTCAACAATTTTTTTTTGAACAAATGACTCTTTGTTGAATAATATAATATAAATTGCATTTGATAGAAAAGAAAAAATTTTAGAAGATTTAGCTATATTTACTAGTGCCTTAATCTTTGTATGGAATATGTTCACAAATTAATTATATTTTTTGTACTTTATATACAGATACATCGTTAACTAAGTAAATATGATAATGTAGTAAATAGTTTTCCATAATATTTATATTATCATTTTGCGAATTTAAGACTAAGATAATATTCCGTCCTTTTTCGACATTTTATAAGATAAGATTTTACTGCATGTAATAACTGTCGTTCATTAATGTTACCATTATTATGCCGTCCATTAATATTTTTATACTTATTGAATAAAAGATAGATTTATGATGTCTTACTTATCTTACTTACTATACTTTTCATTTTATCCAAAATTGTATGAATTCCACATTTCGTAATTCCTTATATATAGATGTGTAATTTTTAATCTTTTATTTTCCATATGTTTTTTCTTACATATTTTTGCAATTTGTCAGTTCTCTAAGTCTCTTTTTTACTATTATAAATAAATATTATAATTAATCTGAAACTTTGTAGTTAATAAAAGCAATATATAAAAGTTAAGAATAAGGACCTAAAGAAAATAATCGGACACCTATTTTCTTCGGTAATATAATTGGTGAATCTTTTAATGTTATATTCATCATAGAATTTCCTGATTGATGTGTTCCTTTAAATTTCTTCGTTTTTAAAGTTTTATGTGGATAAGTGATAATTTTCTGATTTGATGAAATAGATTTTGTTACAGCATTATATTTCCTGACAGAACAGTTTGCCTTAATGTTGCCAAACAATTAAATTAATAAATTGTAGAATAGTTTTTAAAATTAAAAGCAATAAAAACGAAAAATAATAAAGCTTACATTAGAGAGATGTCTCTTATGTTGTAGTTCATGTTTCATAGATTTAGGTTGTGCTAAGATATCGATACGTCTCATATTTCTTCCAGACTTCCGTTTTTTTTTATGATGTCTCTGAAAATAAATAAATGGTATCTTATGTATTTATTAATTTTCAAGTTTTTCTCGATCCTTTGGGAAGAAAATTAAGAAAGATTTATCGATTAAAATAATACGAGTGATAAAAATAAAGCGTTTCATTTTACTTTTTTCATCTTTTTATCTTGTAAGGAATTGTCGATATTCTCTAAGATATTTGTACTTTTTACTTTCCTAGGAGCACACCAATAAGTTTTTCGTTTATTACGAGGCTTTTTGATGACAGATTTCTCCATTATTTTATCTCTGTTGTACGAAAAATTTTATTAGTGAAAACGAGAAAAATAGGAAAATGCAAAAAATGAGAAATATATTTACTCCGTTTTGAACATCTTACAACAATAATTTAAAAGATTAATTTCACAATAAAATAGATTTTGTTCACAGTTACTGATCTATTGCCGAAAAGAATTGAAGTTTGCAATTATCTTATTTTACGATCACTTCACTGTCACATATCATATTTAAAATAAAGTTTTCAAAATTTTCTGTCTTATCACAATTTACTTTAAATTTTCTATTGTCATTTCAAGCATTACAAATCTTGAATTAAATAATAATTTAACGATCAAATGAACGATATGAACACGGATGCCTGTCAAGATAATATACCAAGATATGAAAAATTAGCAAAGCCGAAAAAAAGAATAGATAAAGTCAATAATTACAACGCCTTCAATGTAAGTAATATCGAATCATATTTTGGATGAGGCGCGAGTATTTTAATCCGATCAATATTTCAGGTGAAACGTGGTGCTTTGTCGTATCAAATTACAGACTCGTTAAACAAATTAGCTCAACCTAAACGGAAACCAAATGTGTCCAATACGTCCAATTTCAGCGCGAAAACTTCTCCAACTACAGGTAATGTAACTTGGGGAGAGCTCTCCAAGTATCACCTTCGCTTTTTATCTATAATTTTTTTTTTTATATATATAT